TAAACCTTATTTTCAATAAGCAATCCTGAAAAATATTTGGGGGTGCTTAACTTTTTTCCAGGTGTATGTTATTGGATATGGTAACATGAGTGCATGTGTGCCACATCATTGTAACTTCTGTATTGTTAGCCAGGCATGGCTGAAAGGTCAATATAATCAAAACAATAAATATATATAAATGTTATGAGATGTAAGCTACTTATCTAAACATTTATGTTTTCATGTTATAAATTGTTGTCATTCTAGAATGAAAGAGACATAATTTATATTTATTTACTAATTTTTTACGGTTGTTATGAGATGAATCAAATCTATCAAACACAAACAAAGATTCGTTACTGAAAATAACAGATAAAATATAAAGTTTTTTGTTAAGAAACATTTGATAACTATCTGGACATTATAAAGATTTCACATGAAAATTGAAAATTTTCTGATGTATAAAAGTATTTTTAATCTTAAAATGAAAATTACTTTGCATGTTGGATAGGCAACATGCAATAAGAAAAAAAGGCATGAGGAAAACATTGCTTTACAAACCTTAAGACTTAATGAAAAATTTGATATTTTGCATATGAAAGCATTGTAATATTTACTGATAATCTGTCAAATTTCATTAACATACTCTTATTATTTAAAGTTATAGCATGAAAACTATAACAAGCACAAAATGGTTACAAGGTCGATCGCAGGGACTGAGCCCATGCTGAAACAGTTAAGGGAGTTTAATTTAAAACTTGATAACTATTTGAATGACAAGGGCTGGCATTGAGTTTTTTATGTTCAGTTTAATTTAGTGATAGGATGGTCTAGATGGACCAAAAGGTCTTTTGTTGTTCTTTGTACATGTTCATTAACTGGAATATATTTCTGTTTGAAGTTAGTTGAGTTCAACTTTTCCAAGTTTTGGTATTGCAATGTTTATTAACGAGTAGTAGCACTAGAAGTTAATACAGTAATAGTTAGTATTTACTATTTATTGAGGGTATGTACTGTAACAACATGTGTCCCAGGGACCGAGACCGTGCTGAAAGAATTAAAAGAAACGTAAATGTTTATTGTTATATAGTTAATGTTCACTTTTTACAATTCATATACAATATATCAAACTTTTACCTCTCCTTTTTACTTTTGTAACTTCTACAGTTTATTTAAGGCCAGAGAAACATATTTGGTTGTTAATAATTCAACTTTGTAAGCTTTACTTATGTATGGAAACATGTTTTGCTGTCTTCTAAAAACAGACCAATGTTATGTTGAAACATTTAGTATGTTCCTCCAAAATAAACCACTTCATTTTGCTTATAAATTGTTGTTTGACAATTTACCATTATATAAGCTGTATTTAAGTAGTTTGAATTAGAGTTTCTTTGTCTTCAAGGTTTGTATTTTTCTACATAAGGCTGTTATTTTAAGGCTTAAGATAATTAGTAATTTGATAGATACTGTTTATGTTAGTTGTTTGATTCATTGAGTTGTGATTTTTTATGGCACTTTCATATGATACTGAGATTAAGAGAGTAATTTTCAAGCAGCCTTAAAGAGCACTAAACCAAGAATATATGTTGCTAAGAATTGTGAAACTGACTTTTGATATGTAATTGTACAAAATATGTTCAGTGTACTACTAGGATATGGTACAAGTTTTCTATATATATGTGTGTTTGTCCACCAGATATCGTATAACCAAAGATATCAGTTTTCCATTCCGCATCATTCCACTGGTTCGAGAAGTTGGCAGAACTAAGATGGAGGTTAAAGTTGTCCTCAAGTCAAACTTTAAGCCTTCTCTTATTGGACAGAAAATTGAAGTATGTTATTTACATAAAGATTGTTGTATTAGTTTGTAATTACTATGCTTTTGCAAAAAAATGTGAAATATAACATATATAAGGATTGTATTGAATAGAGTTTACAACATTAGTGTATGGAGCTTTGAGCATGTAGTTTCAAATTAATGATTGGGTAGTATGATCATTTAATATACATATATGTGTATGCAAACACACACACATACACTGTTGCTGATGACAAGAGTGAATGACTTTTATAAATAGTAGAGTAGTTCAAATTTTCCTGTATGAGAATTTATAAGGCTTCTTGAATTTTGTTTGAACCATTATTTCAGGTTGCATATTATCTAGTCATAGGTATAACTAAACATTCCTTTGAATTAAAATATTACTGTTATGGATTAAGAAGATCAGTCTCCAAATATTTAAAACAATTTTTAGTTGAAGTTGAGAATAATTCTAATCCATGATTTTGCAAACCTTTATAATTTAGATATAGTTCATATTAAAGAAAACCTAACATCATGACTGCACAATTAGTAACAATATTTACATTGTGTTTGTTCTAATATTAGCAGGTTGTGCTCTAATTTTAATGAATTCTTACTTAGCCTGATAATATTGGATAATTAATCTTAGTGGAAAAATTATCTTGATTTTCCTGATAACGGACAAGTCCAAAAAATGAGTTTAATGTACAGTAATATTTTGAATAGAAATTTTGTATTTGGATAAAATATTGGATTACAACTAGATGAATGATCATATTTTGTAGTTGAGAAATACACTGTCTGAAGAAAAATTTGAACATATTTTCACACAAGTTTAGTACCAAATCTGTTGATTAATTGCATTTTGTTTCATTAAATTTTCATAGGTTCGTATACCTACCCCCCTAAATACCAGTGGAGTTCAGTTGATTTGTATGAAGGGTAAAGCAAAGTACAAAGCCAGTGAAAATGCAATAGTATGGAAGTTAGTAAATCAAATATTTATTTTGTTTGTTAAATTGTTAATATTTAATTGAAGTACTTTTAATTGCTTCTAAAATGCCTACATAAAAATGTGACATTTCTTGTAATATAAAAACATATCATACCAGATTGATCATGACTAAATGGTGTATACTGTTATGCTGAGTACACACTTATTGGTTGATCTGTAAATATTTTGTTTATATAACCATAGCCCAGGGTTTTCTTTGCTAATCTTGGTAAATAAACTACTAGGTTCAAGTGTGGAAGAAAATGTTGGTTTGTTAGATGTTTAAGATATATTTCTTATAATTTTAAGGGACCTGTCTATAAATATATAGAAGTATGTTTTTATCTCAGGATAGAAGATGAGGATTGAATGGCCTTTTAGAAAACATAATTGCTAAAATGATTCATGAGTTTAAAGTGAAATCTTGCTTGAGGAAACTTGTTTGTTACTTTTATACCACCACGAACACTTTACACTTTTACAATTTTTTTGCTTACAAGCACCTACAGGATGTGACAAATTTCAAACATTTTACTTACTTATTCAGACAAGAGCCACTGATACTTGCCTGAATTTTAACAAAATCTTTTAAAGGTTAAAAACACTGAACCATACATATTATTATGTGTATTAGAACCTGAAGATCCAAAGTAATCAAAGAGGCTGTTCTGAACTGGTTTGTTTGAGCAATAATGATTTGATAGAGGGTATTTTACATTTAATTTTGTACTTTTTCGAGGGGTGGTGGATAAAATAGGGATGATGACATGCTAAGAGAAAATGGGTCACACTAGTGGAAATTCAGGATTTTTTTAAATATTTCCTTGTAGAATTAAGAACTTAAAATGTGTATACTATTAAAATATAGATTATTAGCTAAGATTTTATGCTATTCTAATTTCTATAACATAAACAAAAAGTAGTTTGATAAAATGTTTAATGTAAGATGCTGAAACCTTGCGTCATTCGCAGTAAAGGATACCCAGGGCAAGAGGGTTAATTAAATTTTGAATGTAATTCTGTAAAAAACATTTTTTGTAACAAGCACACTTTGACCCTCCGGTGTCCATGAATTTAATGGCTTATTGTTGTTCTCTGATTAAATGAGGTTTTGGCAGCTTCACTTTATATAGAGTATTTGTAATCTTATATGCAATCTATACTTCCTGAGCAAATACTAGACTTGGTGAACTAGAAGCAAAATGTTTTATCAAGGCAATAATGTTTGTGAATGGACTTGTAACGTTCTTGACAACAAACTGTTCTGGTTACGTGGAAAGTTTTTGTCACCAAGATTTAGAACAGTACTGTTTTAAAAGATATATTTGTCTAACCTATATGAAAGCCAGGAGGAGTCATAAAAGCCCAAATGCATTTATCCAGATATATAGAACAGTTCGATACTGTCTGCCCATTACAATTTTATTGACAGGGGTGCAAGGGGGCTGTGAAACCTTATAAGCATAGTGAGTGTTGGTACAATAAGCCTAAAGTAAAGATGTAGTGTGGATCACTTAGCCCAGAGCCAAGTGCATAAAATTTATCATGAAAGTAAAAATATTGATTCAATTTTAAATTTAAATTGTTTCTGAATTAAACTATTTTCTGTAATATCACCAACATATTTAATAAAAAACAAACCTCTTTAATTAATGGAGACTATAAATTAAGAAATCAACAAATATTTTTCTGGTTTTGTTGTCTATATGTTTCATTTTATACTTCCAATACATAGACAAACAACAATATTAGGTTATACTTTTGTTGCTAAGTAACATGGCATAAAAGCCATTGTTGGAAAGTAGTGTTAACACAATGCACTGGCTTTTCTATACATTAGAAGTTGTTAATCTAACTGATTTTTACCAATTATTATTCTATTGAAATGCCACGAATTAATTTCATGAATGATCTTAATTTCCATTGGCTCACAAAGGAATTTACCAATGTTTGACTGCCTCGACTTTACTTTTCTGCCTCTTGTTACTCAAGCTTGATTTCACAAAAGTTGCTTATTTCAGTTAGCTATGAAATGTGAAGTAAGGGTATACTATGGGGGTTGGGGTGGTAGTACTTTCCCCATCATTTTTGAAGGGCTATATGCCAGTCATTATATAGTGTAGACATGTACTGAACAGTTTATTAACATTCAATGAACATAAAACCTTACTCATGTACTTTTCCTTAGCATTAACTAAACCTTCCCAATTGAAGATTTGCCAATTAACTGTTTGAAGTCATTCCACTTAATTGTCAGTGTAAATTATTTCTTTTTTAAGCTTGTGTCTATTTTCTACATTAAAGAATCTGTGGACCATTTTGTCTTATATTTTTGCAATAACTTTGGTATGACATTGTATACCTGTTACATTTTAAGTGATTACATCTTTTTTTTAAAATTGTCTATAGAATGTTTAGTCCTAAGATGGGACAAGCATGTTTTATTGTATTTCTCATTTTGGATGAACTGTTCAAACAATATTGTGCATGTTTTGAGAGAACAGCAGTTGCTCTAAACTTTGACTCTGGATCTTTATATTTTTCCACAGTCATAGGGTGTTGTTGTCACACTTTCAACAGTACCACAGCTCTAAAATGATTATTTTAATTTATCACAAAACTCTTAGTTTTATCTTTTGTATGGTGTTATTAGCTTATGAACATTCGACCACCAAATTCAGATGTCAGAACCTAATAGAGCATTAGCCATAATTCAACAAATAATAACTTTACAGCGTGACTCTGTACTTCAAAATGACATCTCTGGCAAGCTGTTCACAAAGCTTCAAATTTTTATAAAAGTCTTTGTATTCTAAATTTTCACATACTTTTTCCTGAACTTCAAAATCCAGTTCACTTAGTCCAAAGGTATGTTAGTTTTACGTGTGTTTGTTTTCAAAATGTGCAGACAGAATATTGTAGCTGTTGGCTACTTATCAACTAAATGTGTTTGTATGGCTGAGTAGTTATTGATCTTTCTGAGATATAAAAGGGGATCTGTGTACTGTTGGCAGAATATGCCTGTGGAATTAAAATATGTAAAAAGTTTTTAACTTTCTACACTAGTACACACTAGAAGTAGAGTGATACTTGTTTGTGATAGTTCTTTTCCATTCTTATTCATGAAGAATTTGTTACATCTTCGGTCTCCATGTTTAAACAACCAACTGTTCCAATTTGACTTTGTTCTTTGTGCCACGTCTTCATTCTAAAGGTTTTGTATTAAGCATGTGGAAATTAAGTTAATTTTGGTTTAAAGAAAAGTGAGCTTGTGGGAATGAAAATGTAACTTTGTGTTGATATTTTACAGATCTGACACTGATCAGTTGTTTTAGCTCTGCTATTTTTCATTAAAAAGCTTAGTTTTATTTAGTATTTTACTCAACAAACTGTGAATTCTTTCATTTTTTGCAAAAAGGATTAAAAGAATGGCAGGGATGAAAGAGACTCAACTTAGTGCTGAGATAGAACTCTTACAGACTGATACTAAGAAGAAATGGAACAGACCTCCTATTTCTATGAACTTTGAGGTATGATGGAATTCTTAATGCTTAGCCAAAGTTAAAGGCTATGAATAAAGGTCAAAAATGTTTCTTTTATGTGTTTTTCTTCATTAGTTTTAAAAACAATTCTAATTATTCAATATTACATTTTTTTAACTCTTTCCATTTAGGTTCAGTTGAGGTGACAAACCTTGTAACCACAAGGTAACCATCAATTTCATTACTATAAATTTTAGTTCCTTTGCCACAGGTTCCGTTCAATCAGCCAAGTTTGTGACTCCAAATTGACCTGTAAAATTTCTGTATTATAACTTCTAATATGTTTTGTACATATTCACAAAATTTGACGAGCTTCAGTGGCGTAGCAGGGGGGGCAGTCGCTCCCGGGCACAGGTGTGAAGGGGCGCAAAAGTTCATCTGGCCTATAATGCCTATTAATTGATAATTATGCCCTCCCCTAAGATATAGCGCAACTGCCCTATGTTAAGTAAATACGACACAGTGTTACATTATTTGTGTGTATTACGCTTATGGTTTTAACTTTTAAAAGCCACCCACTGAAATACAGTGAGACCGAATTGATGTACAGAAGTAAATTACACTATTCCATCATTCATCTGTAGATCAAATATAAGTCCCAGAGTACAACATACAAATAAGTGTATGTTCAACAAAAAGAAAATATGAGATTGATGTAACATATTAACTGGTGTGCAAGATTGGCAATATATCCAACAGGCAAGGCCTAGACCTAGTAAACATTATAGGCCTAATGTAGTGGTTTGTAATTGTACTGGCTGATTGTAAATCATGTCTTACAATAACTAATGTACTTATTAGACTTTAGGTCTAATTGCAGTTATAATTTTATTTTTAGATTCTAGGTCCATCATCATACAAATTGTAGCCTATATTATAGGCATACTTAGACCTATACTATTAAACTAGGCATTGCACTGGGACGGATCTAATTACTAAGTTAATAGATCTAGATGTAACATTTGTTCTAAAAGTTAGGCCTAATAAATCTGAATCTAGAATTGATGAGGCAGGGTTATATCTAGATCTGGGTAGATTCAATACAAGGTGCTTTCAATCTATGCACCCAAATCTAAAGTCTAGTTTGGATGTATAAAGCTAAATTTCTGTCATTATTATTACATCTAGATCCAAACCTAAGACTAAAAAGATGGAAGTAACAGGTCTCTAACATTAATGTTAGATCTAGATGTACTAGCAACTTAATCTAGGAACTGTAATCTAGCACCACTAATTAGTTAGCCTATATCTAAGTTTTCTCATTCTATCAAAACCTTTAATATTAAATATAGCCTTTGAGCCTCTAGTGTGTGTGGCAAGCAATTTCAGACTTGTATCCTGTAGTGTTCGTGTAGTTAAACCTATTGAGTTTATAAATGTGATTTAGCAACTGCCAGTAATTTATATGGTGCTCATAAGCATGATTTATCAGCATATACATTCATGTGCATTGACTTTCTTACTGTTGTGTCACATTAATTAACATGAGTATGGGTGGCCTAAATAATGGCAGTTAAAGTGAAACCAGGTTGTATAATTTAAACATAATTTGTGGTTAGGAAGTTAGGAAAGTAGAATGTTTCCTTTCATCTGATAATTTGCATGTTGCAACTAAATAGTGTAGTCAGTACTTATTAATTTATTCTTTTAGCCTATTATGTCAAAAAAGAAAGTGGGGCACAGGGATGCAAAATATGTGCACAACTTGCAGCTTCATTGGTGGAGTGAAGCAAATTGATGAGAGCTTTCCTTGCTGGAAGTGATGACACCAGTAAGCCAGCATCTGTTTCT